TCTGTACAGACCAAAGGTCAGTTTTATGTTATTGGATATGGTAACATGAGTGCACGTGAGCCGGGTAATTGTAACTTCTGTGTTGTTAGCCAGCTGAAAGGGCAATATAATAAAAATGATAAATTTATAAGATTATGAGATTTAAGCTATTTTGTCTAAACATTTATGTTTTCATGCTGCAATTGTCACTTGATCTTGCTTGCATCATAGCCAGCAGCTTCCAGCAACAGCTTTCAGGGATTCAAGTTTAGATGCTACATCACTCCCCCAGTTGGCTGGGTTTACTCAAAACATTTTTACAAGTAGGCTATTTTCTAAGGAGCTGAATCATTCATTAACTCTTTCAGCGTGGGCTCAGTCCCTGGGACCAACCTCATAACCATTTTGTGCGTGTTATAGTTTTCATGCTATAATTTTTATATTAGTAAGCATATGTTAACAAAATTTGGCAAATTATCAATAAACAATACAATGCTCTTATATGCAAAATATAAAATTTTTTTTTATTAGGTCTTAAGGTTTGTTAAGCAACATTTTTCTCATGCTTTTTTTATCTTTTTGCATGTTGCCTATCCAAAGAATTTTAAGAATAAAAATACTTTTATGCATAAGAAAATTTTCAAATTTCACATGTGAAATCTTTATAACGTCCAGATGGTTATCAAACATTTTTTAAGAAAAAACTTTACATTTTATCCATTATTTTCAGTAATGAATCTATGTATGGGTTTGCTAGATTTGACCAATTTCATAACCACCATAAACAGTTAGGAAATAAATATAAATTATGCCTCTTTCATTCTAGAATGAACACAGATTATAACACAAAAAGATAAATGTTTAGACTAAATAACTTAAATCTCATAACATTGTACATTTATATATATTTATTATTTTTATTGTATTGATCTTTCAGTCATGCCTGTCTAACAACACAGAAGTTACAATGCACTCATGTTACCGTATCAAATAACATAAAACTGACCTTTGGTCTGTATGAAGTAACTTGTCTTGGCTGTGTTTTAGTAGACTAGTATTTTGTAAAATACAGTCACATTTCAATTATTATATATGTATATAGATTATTGCTATTTTGAAATAAGTTCTTAAACTTATTTTTCATTATACATAGAACAGTAACTAAGGAAGTAAAGCAAACAATAATATTTTCTAGTTTAAACCTTTGTACTTTTCGTGCTGCTTGACATTGGTTGCTAAGCCTTTAAATATCTTGCACGTGGAGGATATGAAAAAAAATATTTTTTTTTAGGTTTTATATATACAATTGAATAACCAAAAAATCATAAATCATAGAATCCTTCTACAATTTATCAAGCTAAGTAACTAAGCTGTATTAGGGTCTAAAAAAAGTATGAAATTTTGAGCAAACTAAAGTCACAACCTACCTCTTTGAAATCTTGGTTCAAAAGAACATGCTGATATTCTAACACATGAAAATGGCTCAGAAAGTCACTAGGGGGACAGTCTGAGCTTTTGATTGGTTATTCACATGTCATATATTGAGGTAAGTGTATATAAGGGACCATTTCCAAAATTGGAAAGAGGTAAACAGGGCCACTGTGTTTGATACCGTACATGAGTGATATCTCTACTAATAGAAAAGATAGGGGTTCTTATTTTATATTCTAGGTGGTAAATATTGGTAATTTGAGTTCCTAATTTGTTCGAAACTATAGACTTAGTATTTTGACATCAGAAACATCTAATTTGAACCAGTGCTGCATTCAACATACCTCATGACAGACAAAAGTCAATGTTTAGGTGTGTTTTTTAATAGTTACTTTTGAGTTAAGAAATTAAATAATGTATAATACTAAAATTGAATTATAATGTACAATTTGATACCAAACTTATGACATAAATTCATGAAATAGTAGTTCAAATAAATTTTGAATGTGAGTCAACAAACACTGTGACATGGCCTTTGACCCATAACCCTTCTGGAGAGGATTATGGCACTGGATTAGAGCTGGAACCACTTTCTGTCTGAGCATGTCTAACTTTTCAGTATCAGTTGTAACACTGCCCACTACATGAGCCATTTTGTTCAAAGTAGCTGATGTGTTTTTTACACTTCTTCTCATTTGACCCTCTTTAGGAGGATCACACGAGATCTTGTTGCCATTGATGATGTACCCTGTTTTATCATTTGGGAATCAGAAGCTTCATCTTTGAGTAGGTCCTGCAATTTCATCTTTGTCAATTTGAAGGCTGGCAACACCTCGAAAGCATGAAGTTTTACTCTCTTAAAAAAGGGAAAGGAGACTATGTTCAGGATCGCAGATAGCTGGTAGCAAGAAACTGGAAAGTTCTCAGTTTCTTCAGAATAACTTTCAGCTTGAAGTTTAGTTTGCTATGCATATAGTGTGCAATGGAATTCTCAATTACCTAAGCAAGGGGGATCCAGTTATTCAATAGGATATGAATACCCTTTCTTTGGTGACCTATAAAGCTTGTTCTATAGATTTTTGGGAACTTGTACATCTGACATTTCTTTGTCTTTGCCATTTCTGCAAAGTGCTTCTGGAATTTCCCAGATCTATTCACTTGGTCACAAGCTTCCTCCTTTATCAGGGTGTCAATTACTGCCAGTTCTAACCAGTGGGAGACACATTGGATCAAAATAAATCAGGAAGGCTTAGCTTTCTGCAGTCTCACAAGAAGGCCATTGTAGATTCCTACAAAAAGAATATAATTAGTTTTTAAATTAGATGAACCTGAAGCAGAATAATTTCCATAAATATTTTCTACCATAACAGACTTTACCTGAGCTTATAGCTTATAATTTGTTCATTTTGTGATCAAGTAATTTACCAGTAGTATATATCGGGACTTTAAACTTATTCATTGCTTTTTAAGAATTATTCTAATATTTTTTATATATAAATTTCCATTTTAGTTAAAATTAAAAGACCACTGGAACTGTGCTCATTGTATCACCTGTATTCACTGATGCTCCATCTGCAGTAGCTGACACTAAACTTTGAATTTGAATTGTGAAGAATTGTGAAGAATTCTGCAGTAGCATCCCCATAACTCTCTATG